CGAGGAACAACTTCGAGCCGGCGAGACGATGATCGGACTCCAGGCCGGTTCAAACAGAGGCGCCACCCAGGCTGGACAGAGTTTCGGCGCCACCAGGAAGATTCTACTGGGCAAATAAAAAAAGTCGTGTACAGTAAACATTAAAGAATAAATTGCATTTAGAATACTCAGAAGAGAACGGGTCGTAAGCTACGCGTCTCTTCAGAAAACGAGTGACTAACTTCTACCCGGCTGTATTTTCATTATTAGCTTTCTAAAGTACATATTATAGCATAGGCCAAAATTAATCAGTATTTAGCTCTTTTGATGATGCCATAAACAATTTTCATATTTAAATGTTTATCAGCTGCTTCGCTTTGACTCCAGAGTGGAATGTAAAATGTTAGGTCCTCAAAATAAATTAATCCGGGCCTCTTCAATGTTAAAAATATTATCAATATTAAAGCCCAATGGTATATGGTATATGTGTGCCAACTGCTTTAACATTTAATTCTGTATTTTGTATAATTCTCATAATAAACAGCATTAATCACTTGATCTCATTCATCTTGGAATGTAATACCAGACAATGTACAAATAATAGGCCTTTCGATGTATAACTTCAACTTATCCTCGAAAATTCGTATTATACATAAAATTGTAGTCATGAAATTGAGGGTAAATCATTGAGTGTTTATGAGATGATAATGTTGCGTCATATTGTGATGATTATAATTGTTTAATTTTAACCGTCTAATCTAACTTTCAGATATTTAATGGACATCTGACGAAGGATTGCATTTAGAATATTACATTTGAATTTATATCGATTATACACCTGAAGATGGTTCATTGAAAACCGAAACATGTCGTGAAAAAGATGATGCTCTAATTGTAAATCGAACATTTCGATAGAAAGAGCATCATTTTAATATATTTTAAATATTAAATGTTAATTGAAGTAATATTTTAATATTTAATAAAATATTTTATTGTGATTAGACGGTTAAAATTAAACATTGAGTGTTTGTTAATATTTGTTTCCAGCCTTAAACAATGCGGTGTCACACTCCGCTTACCTGTGGTACGCGTGTGTAGAAACTTGGCAACGTGTATCTCCGTTGCTTTCCGACATTACATTTCAGTAACTCCGACCTCCTCGCCCTGCATGAGTTCCTATTCACAGTATCGTATGTTTCAAGACACCGTCGCCCTTCTTGCAAGTAAGTAGTACATGGCGTTTAGAAGCTACATACACCAGTTCCGTACGTAAGTTAAGACGTCATTTCCTGTACGGAATTCTTTCTGAACACCCAGTAATTATTATCATATCGTAGAAACAGTGACATTCGCTCATAAGTCATCAGCAAATGCTCACTTCAGGAACAGGCAAGTATGCAAGTCTTGGAGGTAGATGTGAATCTGGGGGAACGAGAGATGTATGATACTTGCTTCTCTAGTATCTGATACCCTGTTATTAAATCTCAAATCTTGGGCAACAATGGTACATGAAGAAACCGATTTCGCTTGTTACACTGTTGTTAGTTGCTACACAGACATCGATTTCGTGACAGAACAACAAGAAATCGACGGTTAATTCAGATACATTTAGCGTTTTACTTCATTTTCAATTGATAAAAGGAGAATCCTCTATTACAAACCGATCAACAACATACGAGAGAGACGACGGACGAACTTTTGGAAATTCGACAAAACTTGAGAAAGAGATGTTCGTAGTTGCCAGGACTGAACACATCAGTCAAGAGTGGCTATGGGTTGGATTTTCGGGGTTCGATTCTCGTCTTAAGGTACTAACCCAGCTCTTGTCTAGAGGGGATAAAGGAAAACTACGTAACCTCAGTCGGGATAGCCGAATTTCAAATATACGACGAAGCAGGATTACCAACAATAGGGCCACGGCGACCGGTAGATGTAATTTACCTGCATGAAAATTTATTTACGATTTTGAAACCTTCGTTTTCAAGTAATGGAATTAATTGTATGGGGCCTAGGTATTCTGAGGTGATAAAATTAAACAGCAGTCTATACCAATCGGTTATAAAAGGAGTTTCCTGTCATCAACTGGCACTTCTATTGTCTATGTTTACCATCATCCGTAACATTTCACGTGTTAATTATTCTCTTACGTTAAAGACTTCGGTGCTGATAGTTGCTGCGAATGTATATAAATTAAAAGTAATGAATGCGTGATAAACCAGGTGTTGCGTTAGATCTGTCATTGTAGTAAGTACGAGCGGGGTTCGAGTCCAGTCAGCGTCACATCGGCCCTGTTAGTCCATTCCATCTCTTGTACAATGGGGACAGGTCCTCTTTCATTTGGTATAAAGCGGCCGGAATGTGAATCCAACCACTCTTCTGCATCCAGTGCCAAGGTTAAGAATTATGGAGCTGTACAAGATGTAGGTTTTTGAGTGTAAGATGTATCGATGTATGTATCGATGTATCGATGTTTCTGCGTGTTGATCGATCGCCCTTTTCGTTCGATATTTCCTGTTTCAATAACAAAGGGCTCGGATACTTAGAAATCCACAAGGGACTCGCGCGAGCCCTATCGAGCCCCCTTACATATACATGACAAAGTTCTGAGGGTCAACATAACCTCTAAACTTACGTCAGTCTAAATGGTGACCTATTACAAGTAGAACCAGCTCTCGGAAGCAACTTGTGTATTAGCTATACCTCGGACAACAGACGCTGTTGAGGGGCGTTAACAAACAATCAGTGAATCATGAATGACGGAGTCGAAAGGTGGGTGGAGAGTGCCACGAAGAATCTCGGTGACTCACTTATCTCATTCCTGCAATAAAACAGGAAATGTTCGCAAGAGGAAGAAGCTTCTACGATCACATCCGTTAGTTTCCAGTCCACGTTTACACCGTGCGCGTCTAATATGGCTCGCAAACGCCATGCACACTGCACCTGCAAAAATATACGTAAGTTCATTATTTACATTGTTTTCTGACCTACTTTCCTAGGAGTGTTTGTTTCATAAGTCTTGTCTGCACGCACGTTCTATATAATAGCCCTATTTGATCTGCTAACACGAGCGTTAACTGAATCTTCATACTACAGATCTGTAAATACAGGCAGTCCACTGGTTACATTACTCCAATTTGTGTTATTCGTCTGTAATATCATACTTTTAATGTGTAGTAGAACACATTTCGTGTCCCGTCGTTTCTAGCTCATACCATTTCGAACAATAAATAAGCTAAATAGAGAATGGGGTAATCGATTATTTAATTACGTCACCGTTTTCCTTCAGCGCATCTCAACTGAAAACTTTCCTTTTCGATTTGTAATGCTGTGCGTTCGGATACGTCGTTGATCAACTCGTTTCTCCAACAAATGGAGGAGTATCAGGTTGTGTTCGGTGTTTAGCTCATGCTTAGGTGAATGAAATTGTTTTAAAATGCGTTTTGGGTAGACAAAGTATCTTCCTGTCAATTTAATTTGCTGGAAGTATTCAATCGTGAACATAAAACATTTTTACACTGTGCTACCATTACTCATTAATGCTGTTCACGTGCTATGAACATGTGTTTTAGTACCTTATACTCCGTCATGGATGATCCAAGTACAAAATTGTCTTTGAGTTGCTTTCTTAACCTTTTAATTCCTGTGATAACTACGTACCATGTATTTTAAAAGTCAACAAGTATGCATTTGTATTTATGGGTTTAAGACACATCCGCGAGAAAAGGGGGTAATATATTCAAATGTTCTGGAAACATAAGCCATCAAGATGGCTGTCTGTTG